GATGCGCCCAGTGATAGAAAGAATGCGGAACCGATTTCTTGCTGCAAAATAACTCCCTAGCTTTTACTCTTTTTTTTTTCGAAATTTCTGACTTGCTTTCAAAATTTTCTCGAAATTTCTGGCTCATTTTTAAGAAATTTCCTAAAAAAATGAACCGGAAATTTCATTCATTTCTAAAATTTTTTTTCAGAAAAATCCATCGCCCCCTCCCTGGATTCTCCTATGGTAAATTACTATCTTTCATTATGTAAGAATCTACATTTTTCTAACGTCATTTTCTACAAATTCGAGAAATTCTGATAAAAGATTCAAAAACAGCGAAAGAGCTTCAGGCTTCTTCCTGCATTCAAAAAACAGAATTGGCGTGGTTGTTTGTGAATTTACTGTTCAAGTCAAAACGACCACAAGAGACTTTGACCTCTTTAATCTTGCTCATTTTATGTTTTTCCTTCTAAAAAAAATTTTCATTAACTGACCTCATATGTGCCAACAAGTCCTTGTACGAATCTGCTGTCGACACGGTGCGCCGCAAAAAAGAATGTTCCATTCGCTACGATTGAGAAAAATACTGCAATAACTGTTTTATTAATGAAAATGCAATACGATTTGTTCTTCAAATAAGTGCTAGCTTGGGGTACACAATCCAGGATCGAACTGATCGCATAGTAGCGTCTAAGAGCACCCCAGTAACACAAATAATACGGAATTCCCAAATAATGATTTATCTCCATTACCTTAGTAATTTTGGTACAAAAATATGTGATTTGGATAAGAAGACCAATATGATGGCCAAAGTATTGCACGTATTCGATGAACAAACTATTCTTTTAGTCTATGTTTCATCCCTTAGCTGTAAGCACACACGAAGAAGCACGTGTGATATGTTGAATATCTCTAATTCTAATTAATCGATCAATTAAGGCAGCTTTAAAGTATACTCGATGCGTGGGGTTTTGCAAGCTACAAAGACTAATTTTAACGTTTTTCAACGAACAGCATTTAGTACTTGATTTTACAGTCTTGGGCTTGAGTTCTTAGGCATTCTGTCATGGCGAATCACGAACTGTTATTAAAAATGATGTGCTAGATGGGCTGCAAAATAAGGTCCCTTAGGTCTGCATGCATACAAAATTTCAAACATTTAGGAATTATTCCTATTAAGATTGAAGGCCAAAAACTGGGACTCAGTTGATATCCTGACCGTAAAATCGTTTTGTACGGAAAGCAAATTTCTAAAAAAACTGGAAAAATGAACTCGTTGTGCCAAAAGTTCTTCACTAGGGCTTTCATAATATTGACACACAAGCCCATTCCCCAAATTGTGGTACTTACATGCAAATCCTCTCCTTGCTGGAAAGCAGTTTCGAGGGGTTTCTCAACTTCCGCCTTCTTAAAACAAAAAGTCCTGGTGATCTTAACGATTAAAATTGGAAAATTGCAAAAATGCCTATTTCCGGACAAGAAAAGCTAAATACTGATAAGAGAACGAACATGCGACGAAGATAAGCACAGTGAAGAGAACGGCAATTGAGTTACTGCACGGAGCACAGCTTCCACAGAGCAAAGCCAATCCACAGCTTGCAAATAAAACACCAAAACATATCAGCACAGCTTTTTGCCAGCCTACAATAGCAAATTAAGCTCTGGATGACTTAATGAAATTTAGTGGCACAACCGAAACACTTCTTATCATTATAATAATCTCACAAGTTCCGCATGCAGGGAAAAGACGTCGGCTGGGATGAAGGTGTTGCATTATGTGGCCGCATGGATCTCCAGCGTGCATGATTATGAGCTTTTTGCATGTAGCCCGGTCGTTTTTCGGGTGAACGCTCGTTCATTGAAAAAAGACGCATAAAAATGCAAATTTGAAAGAAATCGAAAGAGGATTATGAAATCTGCAAAATGTATTTGCTTTTGAGTTTACGGTAAAACTCAGTATTTGTCATGCCTGCGTGCGGGGAATTTTATCTCCAAATTGAATTAAAACCCTACAATAAACATGAATCAGGATAATACCAAAAAACTGATGATGTTCGGCTTCGGTAGCAGCGCTATTCTGGTCCACATCCTGCAAATTCTGA